AGTTCATAACTAACATTTCACTTTCTGATAAAAAAAAAAAAATATTATTTGTATTTAATAAGAAGCCCATACATGTAGGCCACAATACCCACCACAGTCACCTTGGGCCATCATCAGATTTTTAAAAGATTTTTTTCCAAAGAAAACTCCGACTCCATACTGTGACCCCATTTTACCCCCCAAGGGGTCACGACTTAACTGAACTTGAATCCACACAACATGGAAATACATGTACTTCAATAAATAATATATGACTAACATGGTCTTGCTGTTTTGCAAATAATTCCCAATATAAATGCATTATGTATATGCAACGGTAAAATATGATCCCTAATTTTAGGTCCACTCTAACAATAAGGTCCAAGTGTGAAGAAAACACATAACTTGAATTTATGATTTAGAATGGCTCTGACACACCCTCCAAAATGGTACCCTTTTATACAAAATAATTCTGGTGTCTGAGGAGGGAACACTCCTCCCAGACCCTGCCCATTTTCAGAAATCTGTCAACTGTCCTGCTTAAGTGTCACTGATTTTATTAACAAAAGTAATTTATATATGTGATATATATCAGAGTCTATAACATGTAACACTGACCTCTTCATTCATGACCATATTACACATACACTCCGTGGCTGCTCTCTTTAACATTTCATGGTCCTCAGTCATATAGTGTTCTATGGCAGGCAGTCCATTCTCGGCTACTATCCTCTTCCTTATACAAATACAACATATTTCCTTATTTTTATCACTGTTATTGGGAGCCAGAACAGGAAGCAAATTTTTATTTTATGACTACTTTGGTTAAAAAAAGGGATTTTCAGTTATCATTTTTATTATATTGGAAACATACCTGAGAGAATCATTCAGAGAGGTCAGATTTGTCAGTGCCATTAAAGCTTCAAAGTTCTGTAGTGCCATTCTATCAGGGTGGAGCAAACTTATCAAAGGACGGACTACCTCATAAATCTGCAGTATATAAGATGTTATCTTCAATTAAGTCAAAATTGTTATTTGAATGAAATGCTTTCTTATATACATTTCTACATAATTTCTATAAGTCATTTGAGTAAAACTTGTGACCTTTAAAAATCATTAAATGTATCTGGAGATGAAAAATGCTAGAATTTAAAGGAATTTTTTTTAAATTTTAAACTCTAGAACTATAGATAAAGTAAATAGAGGGTAAAAATTGTCTTTTAACATCATAGCTGCTCAACAGTTTTCGTTTTTTTTATCCATAAATTATGATATACATGTAGATTTGTTAATCTCTCTTACTCTGAATGAAAAAAGTTCTGTATCTCATACTTCATATTTTACCCACACATTTGTAAAACTGCATTAGTCATTACTCACAAGCCTTGTCAAATTTTCTGCTTCTTTAATTACAAAAGCATTAAATAGCGCTTACCCTCTGTCCAGGAAATGTGGTCTCAGGATTAGCAGTGATGGTGATCCTAGCAAGGGACCAGGACGCCAGAATCTTTCCTGCATCTGTGTTATTTTTAGTGGCCAAATCAACCAGGGACTAGCAAAAAGAAAATAAACCTTATTGAATAAAATCTTATCATTTTTTTAATTCTTGTACAGATTAGAGGCACACTCATTTTTTCAATAGATGTAGACAACTTCCTGAAGACAAGATACCACCATCTTTACTGAGGACTTACCTTAGCTCCACCTTGCTGTACAACAATGCCCCTCAGATCTTCTTCCACTGTGATAGCATTGTACACTCTGTCAAGAATTCATAGGAGACTTAACCAGAAAACAACATCGGAAAAGTAACACTGGTGTCATAATGTATTCAGAACAGGAGGTACATTACTGGTATTCTGGGTACATGTAAGTGTTAGCAATGAAGACATAATAGTCCACATCAATAGTTTATATATTAAAAATCTACTATGACATGAGATACACTTTGTTTGTGTAGTTTACATGCATGCCAGCATACCTGGAAATTTGTTCTCTCGTATTGGGGCTATCTGTACTTGCTATGGCAACCAAGGCCGATACAACACCAGCTTTGGCCAATTTATGGACCCTCTGTTTAACAAACTCTGGCTTGTCCTGTACAAATTGGATTTGTGCGAAATGTATCTTATATGTATATTATAAAATCTTTATATCAAATAAGTGATACCACAGACTGTAGGAAATTTAATTTTGATACCAATTGTGAGAAGTGGCAACTTTAATTAGAGTCACTCTCAAGTGTAAAATATAGATCAAACACGGCATTCAAATCATGGATCAATGTTCACATCAATTAATGTAAAATATCTGTAAAGTTGGTATAAATATCGCTGCTGATCTTAATGGAGTAACTCAAGCATAAAATAGAGGTCAGAAGCAGCATCCAAACACATGCAATACATCAAACTATAAAGCCTCCTTACTTATATATCTATCAGGTTATGATTGGGTACCACTTATGCTAAGCATGAACTGGATATTCAATGAAGCATTGAAAAAGTATTAAGGTAGTACACAACAGATACACCAAATTTTTCCTCATATTCAATTTTTATGAAGTTCTCAAAGAACAAGGATCATTTGGGGCCTTTTTTGGCCCTGTGAATTTCTAAAAAATCAAAACTGCTCAGTTTTAATTGGAAGTACATTAAATTTATATCCTTTAAAAATGACATAATTTTCTTGCTAATCCATGTATTACGACATCATGAATTTTCATTATTCTCAAATCCTGAAAATTTCTTCAAAAATGGCCAAAGATTTAAGATGTTTTTCAATATTTTGCATAGACCCAACTCTGATCCAAAATGTTCAATTATATATTGAAAGAACTGTTTCAGAAGATTATAATCCATGTTCTATTTTTTGGATCGAGGGGTGGACGCATATTTTAATTCTTTGCTGAAGGTACCTCAAATACACCCATTTTCTTCAAAATTCAAGAACACTGCAATTTCTCAAAGCCTGTTTTTCTAGACTCTCAGAGGAAAGTTTTTCTCATTGTCTCATGAATAGTTTTTATCAGATCTACATGTACATGTATTCATCTGACCAATATAAGGAATGTAACTAACAGCATTAAATGAGGTTTATTAATGTCAAGTTTTGATGAGAACTTAGAATCCTAGCTGATATAAACCTCACCTTTTGATGTTCCTCTGGTACATGTTGTTTGGAGTACTTAGCCAGCTCTATCATCTCGGGCTGAATGTCAGGTTTCTCATAACTGTTGGTGAGATTCACAAACACAGAGGCTGCTGGGTACAGGATATTCTTGTCTGCTTTCTGAGGATTAAAAATTGTGGTTAATGTATACAATGTAAAAACAAACAAGGTGTTTACTCTGAGATCAAATCGGATATTCTCAGTTAATCTGCACCAAGGTTCCAGGGGTCTGTTGTGTTGCACATGAGAACCATAAATACCGTATATACTCGCCTATAAGTCGGTCCGCCTATAAGTCGGTTGTACTTTTTGAGGTTATTTTGGAGGTAATTGTCATTGACCCGCCTATAAGTCGGTACAACTTTTTGCCAGGATTGGTGGACAATTTCAAATCAATGCTCTAATGTTTTAACATGTTTTTCAAATAATATTTTGAGAAATTACGCCGATATTTTATCTCTCTTTTGTCTTCTCATAAATTTCATATCAATACTCTAATGTATTTACCTGTGTTCAAATAATATGTTTGGATATGACATCGGTAATTAATATTTTATTTTTCCACAAACCAAACTACTACCATTTTAGTTTTCTTTTTTATACTGTTTTGTTTAAGCGTTAAATTCCTTGTCTTGTATATTTTATACACCGATCTCGATCATAGGCGGATCTCGGTCTCTTTGGCATGGTGAAGAACTATGTAACAAGGCTAGTAACATTTTGATGATATTTAATTAGGAGGTGCTCAATATACACTTAAGATCAAAATAAAATCATTAAAACATGTAAATACTTGTACTTTATATATAATCTTAGAATACATAAATAATATAATACGTCCAGACATTTCGCAACGATGATCGTCGAAGTTATGTTAAAAATACTACATTTCGTCGTCTAGAAAATTACCAAGCTTTTGATGACTCGCCTATAAGTCGGATATAGAGTTTTGGACCAAAAGTTAACTCCCAAAAAACCGACTTATAGGCGAGTATATACGGTATTTAAGTAACAAGTATAGAGTCAATCATTGATGTTTAGAACACGAATGGACTGGTGATAACCTGGAACATACTGTATACAGGAAAATTTTCGCCCCTTTTTAATTTCGCCCCTTTCGCTCTACTCACAAGTGGGCGAATTTAAAATGTGGCGAATTTAAAATGAGGCAAATTCAAAGAACACAGTATAATTACTTAAACAGAACTGTGACTGGGCAAATTTAAAACGGGGCAAAAATAACCCTGTATACAGTACATGTATCTGAGAGTTTGAGACAATGATGTTCAGAATGGTCTTCATAATGGAGTTGGGATAGACAACTAACCTCAAAATAAACCAAGGTATCTGAACACATCAATGTTTGAGATCCCTAATTTCAACTGTACTATAATATTATTTCCTTTTCTACATATAGAAAATAGTAATTTTGAATATATTAGGAATAACAAATCAGAACACTTTGTTAAGTAATATTTCTGTTTTCATATTAGAAGATATTCCCTGTCTTTCCAGTTGAATCATTTTTATTAGTGTTAAAATAGGTAACACTAAAATACAAATGTAGCTGTGTTTAAAATTTTTAATTCCCAATAGGTTGCATCTTGAATTCCTAGAAAAATATTTTCCTCTTTACATCAAAATTTTATCTAATTTTAATTTGTATATGGTGTAGTATTTTTTAAAGATCTTCATTCTAAATTTGATTTTAATTTTGCCAACAATAGGGCTAGATTTTAAAGCAAAGAAAAATTTAATTAAAGAGGAAAATCAATTTTTGATAAATGTCACTTCTGTAAAAAATAAGCTATTAAGTCTTATTTTTATCTACATTTTATAGATGTAATGTTATAAGTAATATTTGAAATGCAATGCAAATGGAATTAATATAAAAAGTCTTCAGTACAAAATCAAAATCTAAAGCTGTAACAACAGTAATGACTATAAACAGTATATAATTATTGATGATTTGAGCACAATTCAGATATAAACAACTTACAGCGACAACATCAATGAGAGATTTAAGAGCAGCTGTGTCATTGATCAATTCTTCTTTAACCTCGGCATCTAGTGTTAAATACGCCAGTCCCTCAGTACCCCAACGTCGAAGGTCAATGCTCTTGTTCGGATCATTCAGAAATCTGTAATTGAAATGATGTTTTTGATGTTTGCAAACAAATTTATAAACCTTTATATTTGTATCTGCAGGAAATAACTTGACATCTTTAATATTTTTTCATACTGCAGTGATAAACTTACTTTCTACAAGCTTTGGCCAAAGCCAGGGTAGAGCCATCCTGCATGGGTCTGTGACTGGCATCAGAACCTCCAAATGATCCCAACTTACATAAACCCTGAAAAAGTTCAAAGGTATTCACCATAAAATAAACAAAACAATCATGGCTTAAATCTGATAATAATTTAATCATCACAATATATTATAATCTGTACTGACCACAAGAGCGCGGACTTTAACGGCATCAGTTGATTCCTGATACAGTTTCTTTAATACTGGTACAGCATCATTAAGTAAGCCAGCGCATTTGTCCTTTTTAGATGCTGAGTGGACTATGGCCTCAACAGCTACTTGCTAAAAACAATAGAGTAACTATTACAGATGAAAACCAATAAATTAACTGGCTCATCTTAGCATTCATAATTATTTCAAGATTTGATAAATACAACTGTATAATTTAGTTTAGCTTTATTGCATCCAAGTCTGGTGAATAAACTCTTAAAATAACACATGAGTAAACTTTGAGAGAAATAAGAAACAAAGTAACAAAATCCATTACACCTTTTCTTTAATGTCAGTGTATTGCACTAATACATGTATTATATGCATGCACATAATGAGGTCTGTTTTTCCTTTTCAAGACAACAAACATTTTTTTCAGCTTTCATTTATCCAAATACGGTAAAACTTCTCTAAACCAGCCAGCTGTCAGACTGCATAAAATGGCCGGACTAGAGGGGTGGCCGGTTTACCGAAAATTTAGCATACTGAAGGTTTGCAGATTTACAGTACTTGCAGAATCAGAGTATTAATTAATATAGTGTCTATGGCTAATGTTGTAATAAACATTATACAAACAACTTTTCAAGCCTAGTAAATTTGAGTATGATTTACTTTAGAAAATTATACAAGCTGTATCATTGCATGTGGAATTATCTGCCAGATACTAGGAGAGGTATAAAATTGCCATTTCATATGATTGTTGGTCGTCAACACGTGATTAGTTATTGGCAGGTACCTAATGTATAGTGAAGGTTTTGAAAATTCATGATCATTATTCAGTTAGTAAGGATAATTTCGACATATCTGTTGAATTTTTAAAGATAAATTTTAAAATAAGAACAGAAAAAAACCATGGAAAGGTACTTAATTTATCATTTGCAAAAAAACTACCATTATCTCCATACCTATACTATCTACATGTACAAGGGTTGTCAGTAAAATTGTGGACAAGTTGTCTATATTGAAAAAAAAACATCACTGCGTTCTAAAACTTTCCCTACTTTTTAATACATTTTTCATCAATATACATAGCAAATTTCAAACAGATATCTGCTCAAATAAACAAAATATGAGACTTCCTGTTATGTATGGTATCGTCTTACGGCGCACGGATGATAACGTCAAAGTCTCTACAGCAGCGTCACGTTTCCTCTTTGCTAAATAAAAGTTGGATTAGCCCCACTTAAATTCAGGGATTTCATTGATGCACATACTTGATTTTCCCTTTATTCCTCCATAAACAGTCGAGGAACCAATCTTGCAGACACCTGGGTCCTTCTGAAGATTTATTAGTTAAGTTATGGACAGTACTCTCACTATCATTCAACTAAACAGGCTCTCTTATATCGAAGGTCTACAGTGACAGCGTTTTTTGCTATTGCTAGTAGCTGTTTGTCCGTATATTTTGTTCTACCCGGGGACCAGTTCAAAAAGCTTCCGCTTAGAAAACTCCCATTTCACTTGTATACTAAAGATCTAGTGATATTTTTATATTTTTTTTCTTCTGTAGTCATTTAAAGTTTCTTAGGGTGTCATTACTACATCTAAATCAAACAGAACTGCTCTCCATTGCGCCGTAATGTCACCAAACGTCGCCATTTTTCGTGTGTTGCATTTACCACTTTCCCATCTCAAATGCTCAGGAAACTGCCAAAAATTAAGCAAATTCCTTGATATTTTACAAAAGACGAAATAATAGATAGTGGAATAAAAATAGGATAATTTTTACCCCAGCCTTATCTATTTAATACTTTTATTTCGAAATAATACTCGTGTTCCGCTAATGAAACCCTGGTTTTTTGATCGTGTGCCGTAGGACCGTACCCAGTGCACATTCAAGCATAATAAAATCTTTATTTTTGTCTATATTTTATAAAAAAAAATTAAGATGCACTTAAAAATGATGAATAAACATTTGCTAAAAATTTCAGTTTAGTGCGCCCATAATTTTTCGAAAAAAACGCTTTGTCCACGATTTTACCCGACAACCCTCGTATTTGTCTATGGCTTACGTCATTAATAAATTTGTTTGTACTTTATTGAAAAGTAAATAATTAGAACATTTCTCAGCAAAATTTCTGGGATTTTTGAATCACGAAATGTATATTTTGATAAACATTTTTTTTTTCTCAGCTTTTGATCTTTGTTCAGTGTCCAATTCTAAGGCCACTTATACCTATTTAAAAGTATGATGCAACATGGCGCACAATATTTTGTTTATTCATTATGTGTTTGATATTTTATTAATTCAATAGTTGTTTGATATTTTAAAAATTCATGAGGCTTAATCATGTGTACACAACTTAGACTGGTCACTTACGTAGTCTGGCAAGATGACTACCCCTTCACAACACAGGCAAACAATAGAAAACCCTACATGTAAGAGGTCATTTGCAGTTTTTCACACCTCTGACTTCTGGTTGGTATTTTCATACCTCTACCGTTACTACTACTTTGGCCAATGACAGTTATAATTCTTGCAATCAAAATGTGGCCGGTATTATGAGGGAAAATGAACTATGTTTCTTACATTTTGTTCTTGGAAAATTGGCCAGTGTCCGGTATTCAGGGGTGGCCAGTTTTATGATAAATTAATGTGTAAAGAAATGTTAAGAATTTTACCGGGACTTATAAATTCGGTCGATGTTAAGGGAGAACCGGTTTTCAGGGGGGCTGGTCTGGAGAAGTTTCACTGTATCAACAATTTTTAGAGAAATTTTGACCACTAGTAAATTAGATGATTGGGGGTTCTAATATTCTTTGCTAGTTACCTGATGCATTGGATTATCACTGTTAGCCAAGGTAAGCATGATCTGGGTGACTCCATCAAAGCCTAAAATGATGTTCCCAACTTCATACGGACCCTGTGTAAAGTATTGACAGTGAATAAGAAAACTACATATTCAAAATATTTGAAATGTGATTACAACATGAACATTATTTTTTATTACAACACGAACATTAAAGTTTTAATGTGATTTCAAATGAACATGATTGTTTTAATATTATTGATACAAAATCTTACTTGGAGTAGTGATGAGATACATTTAATGGCTTCTACTTTGGATTCAAATAGAGAATCTCCAAACAAATCTCTGAAATAAGATAAATAAACATCTGCAACATTGAACTAGAAATGGCAAGTCCTACTGGATTCCTAGTGGACTTGTGTCAATATTCTTGAGCTTTTGACCTAGACTTTCAACTGAGTGAACCCCAATTCTTGATGTGTCTTTAACCTCTACTAATAATCAATTCAACAAAACATTTGATCACATTTACATGTATGAAGTAAAATACAATGAATGTGCTACAGATAAAGAAGAATATACTCCTTGGCCCCTGTCTTTCTTCATCTATTGTTGTTCTCCACTGAAGACAAGATCACTGAAAATTGTATCAATCTTGTAAAAGCCACAGCTGCATATTGCTTACTTGAAGAAGGCACTACACTGGTCCCTAAACATATCCCGCTCCTTGTCACTACCTAGGTCATCATAAATCTTAGCTAATGCTACAGAGGCATGATACTTTGAATTCTCTGTGATCTCTATGGTACAGGTTTCATGCTGAGGAATGGCTGATGCAATGGTTAACAGACCTTCAATACCTGCAGAACATAATAATAAAGAAACAGAGATCAATTAATCCATTCAATGTGTGCAAATATAACAGATGGTTAGGGCAGAAAACGTATAATTCATTATACTTGAAAAAAAAAAGAGTGAGAATTAAAACAAAAATGCAGCAATTTTATGATATCAGTATAACAAAACAAAATGTAAGTGACCTAAAGTTTTAATTTGTAAGAATTCCAGCTTTATTTGACCATGTTACAAAGATAAAGTATTCTTACTGTATTATCTAATTTGGAATGAAGAAGACAATGCCCATTTTGAAAAGCAACACAACTTTTGTTGTACCAATACATGTAATAAATGTTACATGTATCTGCTTTTCAAGCCATAAAAGTACATGTATAGGAAGAGTATTAGTGACAATTCCAAAGATTATTGACCTTTCTTAATGATAAAATTGAGAAAATATTCATGTACAAAGAATGAAGTTGAAAAGACAATTAAAACTGTGTGTGCAAGTTAGTGTACACAACATTGCATCTATCAAAAAATAATAATTCAGTCCTTATATTTACATTTTTAGAGCCCCCACAATTGCTATTAATAATATGTCTTGCCTTATCCTAAAGGTATGAATGTAAGAGCCATTGGAACAGCTAGTACCGTAAAAGAAAAAGAGGGCTTAATGCTTAAGATTTTAAATATCAAATTGTTAACATTAAACTTAATTAACTTTATTAAAGTGATACACTGTATACAGGGTTATTTTCGCCCTTTCACAATTGCTAGCAATTTTGCTGTTTTTAATTTGCCCAGTTGCGATTCTGTTTAAGAAATTATACTGTTTACTTTAAATTCACCCACTTGTGTCTAGGGCGAAAGGGGCGTAAATAAAACGGAGGCGAAAATTCCCCTTTATACAATAGTATGACTTATTCAAAGTTCATATATTTTTTTAAACAGAAAGTAGTTCTAGTATATATATTCATGACAAACTTTGGTTATTGGGTCTTCTGCATTATGTGTAGATATTACTTTAAATTATTGAATGCCTTTTATTATGGAAAACAAAATAAAAGTAAATATTGTCTGATTATTTGTGGTGTGCCTTACCATCTGTGTCTAGAAACTTTCTGGTCCACTGAACACCATCAGTCCGTAACATGTTTTTGATGATTAGCTCCATGGCAGAATCCCTACCAAATCCAGACACTTTATTACTCTGTAACATCTTCACAAGGCCTTTAAACACACTGTCAATGAACTCTGTCTGTCGCTCATCTGAAGTCACAAAGTACAATCACTGACAGGATTGACTAAAACAGTATGGAAGAAATATTTTGATCTTTAAGTTTAAAATATATATATTTACATTTCCAAACATTTTTCCTTAAGATTCTTTGCAAATTAGAAAAATGTTCTCATGAACTACCATGTGATGAGTAAGAATATTTCCATTGTGATGTGATGGAAGTAAAAAAATAGTGCAAATTTTTTTTTCAAAAATGATGGTTGAATGACAAAAACATGTGGCAAGTCAACAGAGAAATAATATAAATATAAGATATGAATTTAAATTTTTGAGAATTTCATGAGGTACATGAAGCGTTTATGTGCTTCATGAAATATGCCGGCGTGAAGCATTGTATTTCATGTCCTCATGAATTCTCAAATATTAAATTCATCTCTTAAATTAACAAGAAGTCTGTGAGCCAATTTTCACTAGTAATAACTCCACTCTGATGTGAATATAAGCTCTCATGAATCCCACCAAATTGCATGCCTAAACAAAGAGTGTGCTAAAGTTTCAAGCATCTGCCTTATGTAGTTGCTGAGAAAACTGTGACGGAATTTTGGTACGGACAGACACAAGGATAAACAGGAAGTTGACATCAGATTCGTAAAAAATGAATCCCACCATATGGCATGCCTAGACAAAAAGTGTGGTAATATTTCAAGCATTTGCCTTGAGTAGTTGCTAAGAAAACTGCAACACAAATTTGGTACGGACAGACGCATGGATAAACAGGAAGTTGATATCAGATTCATACAAAAATGATTTCCATCATATGGCATGCCTGGACAAAAAGTGTGCTAAAATTTCAAGCATTTGCGATGAGTACATGTAGTTGCTGAGAAAACTGTGATGGACTTTGGTACAGACAAATGCACACATAAACATTAACTGACATTGGATTTGTACAAAATGAATCCCACAATATGGCATGCCTAGACAAAGAGTGTACTAAAATTTCAAGCATCTGCCTTGAGTAGTTGCTAAGAAATCTGTGATGGAAATTTGGTACAGACAGATGCACGGATAAACAGTAAGTTGATATCGGATTCATACAGCACTGAATCCCACCATATGGCATGCCTAGATAAAGCAGTTGAGCAGTTGCCGAGAAAACTGTGACAAAAATTGTTACGAACAGACACACAAGGAATGATTACCTGCACCTGATCCATACATCATATGTTACTACATGTGTACCTGCATTAGAATCAAGCATTAGACACATACCCATTTCAAACTTGGGATATCTGCATGGATTTCCTTGCTTGCGTTCATCTTGGTAATGCTGTAGTAGTTTTCTATATTCTGGGAGGCCGGAGATATTGGTAATCAGGTTCTGGACCAATAAAGCTGTAGAAGTGCACAGTCCTTCATCCTTCACAGACATAAACGCCAACATTTTCTGAAGACCCATTTTTTCCTGAACCAGGTAACTCTGTTTGGAAAATTTAAAAAAATTAATCCAATTTTGATTTCAAGCAATGAGTGGGCTTTCTGTTCATTACAGATGTTATATCTTTTTGACATTAGATACTGTATGGTTAGAACAATTAACATCCTAAATCAGAAAGATTTTTACCCTTTATAATGTGGTAATGACACCATTCTGGGTTTCAATATTCTCTGATTCAAATGTCTATAGAAATTGTTTCTAATGTATACATGTATAATGTGAACTCAATCTAAGGGACTGGAGGTATTATACAAAACTCAATTTCATAGGCTGACCCCTTCAGCCCTTTACAGTAAAAGTAGAATGGAGTCAAGAGGGATTGCTTCAAATTGTCATTGTCCATGACCTGTGGCAAAATACTTCAAATAAGAGATATAGATTTTGGGACCTGGCCCCTAAAAAATCCCTAGTTTCGTAATGAATATTCATTGATATCTTAAAATTGAAAATCTAAAAACAAGCAATGCTTCACAAAATCTTATTAAAACAGGCAATAAAGAACGACTTTTTAGACCGTTAAACCCTATTTCTTGATTACAAATGACAGACTTGTCCAGCTGCACAAGTCTGATTCATTATTTTGTAATAAAGTATTCAACACTAAATAGATATGATAGAAAATCTCTCCAAAATTCACTCACGTCTTGCTTTTAATTTTTTATCTGACGTCCATATTTGGCATTTGTGGAAAATTTTTAACACCTGGGTATATTGGTATATCACAGCAACATCTCTTTTGTTATGGCTAAAAACTTTTATTTTCCTGCATAAGCCATTTCTGAGTTCCATCACAATTTCCTTTGAAAAATTTATTAAAGGGTGATAGCTTTGGACAGGGAGTCAATTCTGAGAATTTGAACGTAAAAAGGAACAAAATAAAGAAGAAGGATAAGAATACTGAGAAAAGTAAAAAAGAAAAAATAGTTGGAGACAGAAGACTCCAAAAATTCTAGCTCTTATAAAAAGGAATCTTTATATTGCTAAAAGTCTGTTTCAAATTTAATATGGTACAGTAGTCATGATCTAAAAATACCTCTGAAATGAGCTATTTTTAAGGAATTATATGTATTTTTTAGGGATGTCAACGAATAGTCGACTATTCGACTATCAGTCGAATGGACCGACAATTGAATAATGAAACGACATTCGAATATTTATATTATAATTTTAAAAAGTGCAATAAAAGAGTGATAATGAGATGGAATTCTCATTATTAAATTGAGAAAACTCCTTTCCTCAGAGACAGTCGATAATTTTTCCTAAACAAAAAAACGATAGACTCCATGTACGTATAGAAAGCACAGTAATTATATGTGCTAGAATTATTTGTCAGTAACTGCCTGTGTTGTTTTTGTAATAAATGGACCACCCCATATACTGGGCTTTGTTTGTAAATTTATTAATTGGACTTAATCTTATACCATGTACCAATTATCTTTTGTTATCTTTCTTAATTCGATAATTTTTAAAGCAATTCGCTTACATCATAAACTGTTGAAGGACATTTTAATAGCCGGAGCAATCAATAAATTGAATAAGCATTATCTAACTCTTTAACAATTTTACAGGCACCGTGTGAAGTCCCCCTTCTTTAAAAATATCGACTGGCAATTTTTTTTTAATGCTTACTATATTTTAACTGACTGCATGTACTGGCCGATCATACATATTGGAGAATTAGGAATCTAAATTTATTTCATATGTTACTTTTTAAATTTAACTAAAAGGTTTCTGAGTTATAAATACGTCCTGTTCCAGTGAAGTTTGAAATAAATTTTTTTTAAGAAGATGTTCCGAATATTCGACTATCGTTCGAATAACGCAATCGAATAATTGACTAAGGAAAATAAATATTTTGACATCCCGAGTATTTTTCAAAGTTCAGGCAATTTTGTCCAGATTTTTATTTATAGCTAATTTCTGTATTAAAGGAAACAAATTCTCTTTTTCCCTCATACCCAATGAAAAATATAGTAATACATGTATTAATGCCAAGTACTGAGTACTAATTTATGTTGCTGTCTAGGAGAATTTGTTCATCCTCTTTTGTATAGAGTCTTTGTTTCTTACCCTTTCTTGGCTATTTATTGTCATACATGACAGGCATCTAATGGCTGCCTGGTTCAGTCCTGTTTCTTACCCTTTCTTGGCTATCCATTGTCAGACATGATAGGCACCTAATGGCTGCCTGGTTGAATTCTACATCCTTCTCCTGTAGAAGCTTCAGAAGGTTGTCTACTCCAGACAGCTCACAAATACTTTTAGCCCCTGCTTCCTCTCGAGCCAACACTATCAGATTGTTGCAAGCCTTTGAATGCACACAAGATCATGAAAACTGAGCAAAGGAATCATTAACTATATAATTTCACATCTGTTTAAATGATATAAAAATTGCAAAATTTTAATTAATTATAATTAAACATTAACCATTAACATTAAATCTCTCCATTGACTAAAGTCACAAGTCATGAAACAAACCAGTAATCTTTGTTCTTTGTCTGTTTTTGAGTTTGCCACTAACACTTAACTTTGACGGAGGTCACTAAACATACCTGTAACCTTTGTTCTTTATCCGTTTTTGAGTTTGTTACCAACTCAAACATTTGTTTAACTTTGGCTGAGGTGCTGTTCTGTTGTTTAACCTGTGCACAAAAAAATTAACGATGTGAAATACAAAATTTATGCTTTTTTCTAAAAATGAAAATTCTAAAAAATCTGTTTTTCTTTAAAAAATGCAAAAACATATAGGCTCTGAGCTCTAAAAATGATACCCCCATTTTACATTCATTCAGATACAGTTGTGTTAACAAGATAACCTTATCATCTTTGAATTTGCCCCATATCAAATAGATTTGTAAGAGATATATGTTAAGGGATCTGGCCCTTAAGAATCCTGCATACATGTAACTATGACCATGTTAAAATGAGCTTTGAGCAGGGTCAAAATCCATATTCTGATCATAACAAACCCTTTGCGACAAGAAAAATTGAATTTCTAATTTTTAAATGTTATAGCCTGGACAAGATTTTTCTCTTTCTAAATCCTTTGATCTTGTTCTAAATGATCTTGATCTAGGGTTATGAAATATCCTCAGGTCATGAAGTAACCTTTCAAGTTTGGTCCTCTAAAGATTTTCTGTTACAAATGGCTCCAACAAGAATTTTACACATTGGAACCTTGACCATGACATTTTTCCTCTGAAAAACAGACCTTGCTTCTGGGTCATGACATATTTTATATCATAAGAGTTGCTAATGTTTCTCCATAACAAAGTTACATGTACATATGTCCAGAGCAAGATTTAGATTTTTATACTGTGGAACCATGACCGTGACCTCATCCCAATTACCTTGGTGTAGGAGAATGACTTTTGAACATCAGTATGGTAAATGTCTCTCATGTTGTTCTTACTATTACAAAGTTGTGGTCCAGAATTTTTTTCCCATTTCAGATTCCTGTGACTTTCTGAATGACCATATCTCAGGGTCATGACACACCCATGAACTTTTTATGCTTTTCAAATGCAAAGTTACACCATGTACAAAAATTTGGATGGACAGGCAGATAGATGAGCAGACATGGTGCTATGTACATCCCAAACTTGGTTTGCAGGCATAAATATCCAAGTAGGTCTGAAGCAGCACTCAAAGCATGAATAATACTGTATACAAGGTTATTTTCACCCCGTGTTATTTTCGCCTTTTCACACTTGCAGACAATTTTGCCCCATTTCAAATTCGCCCATGGCAGTTCTGTTTAATAAATTATACCATGTTCTTTGAATTAGCCCCGTTTAAAATTTGCCCACCTGTGAGTAGGGCGAAAGAGACGAAAATAAAACGAGGGCAAAAATTTCCCTCTATACAGTAGTATGCTTCCTAGATGCATGGATGCAAGATTGCATAGATGCAAGATTGATATTAACTACTTATATTGGACCTGCTAAAAAAAAAATCATAAAAACTCAGGTGCTTCCTGATAGCAAAAGCTAATTTCAGCTCTGTTGAGGTGAGCTAAAATTGCTTATGTTCCTCCATAAAAAAAATTTGTGTCTATCATGTCTGACCTTTTCTTGTATGATGGGGTTTAGCCTCTTAAGGATTGGTTGGACTGCTGTGTTTTTGGGATCTGCTTTAATTAGGGCTGCTGCATCCTTGTATGCCTCTTCCACTTTCCCGAGTTGTTCATAAGCCTGACATCTCCTGTATAAAGCCTTTGGATCACTGGGGGTTACTTCCAATGCTGTATATTAAAATTTACATCAGTTATTATCAACTTTCAAAAAATTCCTATGAATTTGAGGAAAATAAACAAATAGCTTGTATTTATAAAGCACATTTAATCAACTGATTCATACTTGCTGCTCTGAACTCTGTATTGAAATTTATTACAAATGAATTTTAATATAATTCACATGGACAGCTCTACCAAGAATTTGTGCTTTCCACCTTTTTGAGTATCATACATGTACTAGCACATAAAAAACACTGGATTATAACTTTTACAAAAGAAAACACCCACAGAGGTTTTACATCTAAATATGTGTTTAAAAATTAGAACATGTACTTAAAAAATGTTCCAATTTAAAGTTGAAGTGTGATAACTGTGGCACATTCAAAATAGTGAGCAGGTGTCTCTATTTACAAACACTAACATCTCATAAACAACTAATAAAACCAAAAACTTTACTAGATGTGGTAATCATTTCTAAACTTAGTAATATGAATAGAATTTCAATTTAGTGATTTCTATTATACTTCACTGTGACAACATTTATGCTTTTTATCCTTGTTCATATTTTCAAATTTTCTCTTCAAATTTCATTCAGTAGTGGAAGATAAAACATATCATTCTAAATAAAGGAATGAACAATAATAATGATTGAAGTAGTGAAAATAAAACTTGCTGTCAGTTAGAATCAAATCTGCATAAAAAAAAATGATACCTATCCTGTACATATCTATGCTACAAAAGACTATGTTTTTCCTTCGGCACAACTGCCATTTATCTTTTTAGGAAATAAAGTACTGCCAATTTTCAACATAAGATAGGAATTTAAAACATCTACTCTGAAACCATGAAAATTCATCTCTTTGAAATTTGGTAATTTTATAATTTAATTGGATATATATGTACGAGTGTATACAAATTTAGAGAATTAATGCTCGTTTTTCTTTCCTTTCTTCTTTTTAGAATTCTTATTCTTACTGTGGGTCAATCACTCAAAATTTTAGCATTGATTATGGTACATTATTATTAGGGATGGGTATTAGCTAGAGATTTCGTATTGCGATATTTTTAACTGTTTTGCAATATGTATTGCAATATCTTCAACAAAAATTTAAATGGTATTTTCTTATTATATCAATTTCTTTTTACATGTAGAATGTACATAACTATGATAAATGACCAATAAAAGATATCTTGTAGATTGAATTAAAGTTATGCAACTATAAATATACCCAAACAACAGCTTTTGTCTTACTGTATGGCAAGATCGCAAACCTTTCTGACAGCTTTTCTTTATATTTTAGGATAGAGTTCCTGAGTCCAAGCATTTTGTCGGTATATTGGTATTACAAAAATGTATTGCAATACGATATACGATATTTTTTGTCAACATACCGCAATATACCAGAGTATTGGTATTTTTTCCCAGCCCTAATTATTATTAATGGTACCAAAGGCGCCACAGCATTAATTTTGCTAATATCAGAAATCATATACTTTTACATAGAATAATTTCATAATATTAATATGCAATTCATTTTTTTTAAAGGCAAGGAATAGGCAAACATTAAGAAATAAATAGATGACCTGCTGTACAGTCATTGATGACTGCCTGATAGTCCTCTTCCTTTAGATAACATGCAGCCCTGTTCTTTAGAATCACAGCCTTCTCTCCATCTTTGATATCAATAACACCTAAAGCCCGGGTGTAGGCATCCAATGCTTCAGCTATTTTCCCCTCCTTGAAAAATTTATTCCCTTCTTCTTTTAGGGCATTAGCATCTGCCACCTTGAAAAAAAAAATGCTTTTTAATGAATAGTAAATATTCTGCTACATGCATTTATATTAACAAATATAATTTTTTTTAAAAGTTGATAAAAGAGCTATTAAAAATTAACTTTTCTGCAGACATGAAATTGTCACTACACATACATGTTAGAAGTAAACAGGTTGACAGGTTGACACTCTGATTCAAGATGAAGAACAGTTTGCAACTTTGGATAAACACATGTGGATATTTTTTGATACATTTACATTTAATGAAAATACACTGTCAGAACAACTGCTAGTCGTAGTTGTATAAACCATTTAAAAGTTCAAATTTTTGAGTCTTCAGACAGAAATTTTAACATAAATTTTTAATGCATTAAAGTATTTTGGCAAAAATAAATAGCTTTAAAGTTATTTATGCCCAAATCTGCACTCCATGAAGACTTGCTAATGATTTCTTAAATTATCAATAGAAGTTTGAATTAATCACTGTTTAAAATAACTTTGGATTCATAACTTTTTACTTTTATTAGTATCTATTAAGCAATGCATGAAATGTTTTTAACTGAGTTTGTCTTTAAACACTTTCTCCGGGAATAATGCACATTTAACGATAATAAACTATAAAACCTTTATTTATATCATGTATCCTTGGAGGTCCATGAGTCGTTACCCTAATTTGATGGTGTCCATTTTTGTGTAAATAAATTTGAAATACAGTTTCGTTTCGTAAGTCATACCTTAGTTACAAATATTTTTTTCTTTCAATTGAACTAATAGTTTAGAAAAATTGTTTACATCTTGTTCAAAGTACAAATGTTTACCCAGCACCATTTGAAAAAAGGTCCTTGGGTTGTGACCTCAGTGGTATTACATATATGATATTATAGAAGCCAAAAATTCCTATTCAGAAACGTCACTTCTGTTGACATACTGTAAACAATGCGTATAGTAACACTTATGCACTTGAGATAGGTCGTAATGAAAAAATATTTTAGCCTTTCTATTCAAATATATGCGGTAATAGCAGATTTATGCTAAGTGAGGTGAAATTTTGTTTCAGACTATATTTTTTACCTGTTTTGACCTTATTATCGTCTGCAGTTGTAAAATATGACAAAAGCAATCCAAATAATACTTTTCTAATGATGTATGGTGCAGCGGTGGGCACAATCTTGTGAGATACTCGATGAAAATAAAAAGGGGCATGATTCTTGGACCATAACGAAAATAACGTCTCCAATGATACTTTAAGCAGGTACAATCTCTTGATTTAGCTATATAGGTTGAATTAGCAATATAGCTTTATTTATTCAGAATAGCTTAATTCAGCTAATTTATGAAATTATATAACTTTTTTCTTAAATGTGTTATTTTTTCAGCATGTATAAAAGTCGCACCCAAGGTTAATTTTAACAGGTTGGGACCAGTCGCCCAAATGCGATATAATGATACGGATATAATAACTTTTGGTCAACAAGTTTTTCAGTATGCCCACTGTCTGTTTAGGAGATTGATCTCTCGGAAGTTCCTAAACTTCTTGGGGATCAATCTAACAAACTGTAAAATTGCAGAAAAACTTGCTTGCCAAAAGTTATTCCTTTATAAGTATCCTGATGCGGATTTACGATATTTTTAGCCAAAATAAAAATTGTCATTTTTTGCTCAGTAAATTTATATCCTATTTGGGATATTAATTTATATCCCAGACGGGTTTTTATATCCCATTTGGGTGATTGGTCCCAACCTGTTAAAGAGTGTGTCTATTGAAATGAATGCATACAAGCATTGTTACCGACGTAAAATTCAAACAGATTCCTCAAATTAATGACCCTATATATTCCGCTTACTTTTTACATATAACTGTTTCTAAATGTATATTTCTTCTTCCGAAATCTAAATTATATACTAAAAAATCCACTTACCTCTGTGATGGTTGGCATGTTTCTGATATACGAGGAAGTATACACTCTTTCTATCTTCAAAATAAAAGAGTTCGAAACATTTAATTTCAGGGTTACTCGTTAAAAAAAATGTCAGTCCAACTTTACAATCCTTTTACTTTGTGCACACATACTATAAATTGTTCTCGTATTTACTAAACTACGTGTGATTATACTTTCAAAGACGTTTGGTCAGAATATCCTACAGAGAAAGTCCTAGAACAAAGGGAGATTATGCCATCTGGAATTACCGTATTCGGTAATGAGTCGGTCTCAGCACCATCTGGTTACCACAGGGGGGCGAAACTTCTAGAAAAGTAGTGAACGTTCCAGAAATTTTGTATTCCATACTTGTGTTTTTGGTAGGCCTACATCGATATAAATATAAAATTAAAAGTTTTTCCCTTAGTACGTATAGAATAAAATTTCTGTATTAATAAACACGATTAAATGTAATAAGTTATCTACGGGTGTCCAATAACTGAAGTTATAAGTAAACAGTTATGAAAATTACGTTGATAGATTTCATTTGATTACATAAAAGCTCAGCAGTTGTTCTATATATACATGTAAGATTAATTGTCAGTAAATAATTTAATTTTGATACCTGTTTACTTGATACGTAATATTATATCAAGGGACCCCTCCCCCCATTTTCTTAGAATGATGTATGGAATTTTCATGCCCCCCCCCCTCTTTTCGTTGCAGTATGGAAATCCTCCTACAGTTGTGCGAGATTTTGTCGCAAAGTTGGAATAAAAGAAAAATTAAATAAACAAACAAGCAAAATGTTATTCATATCATTTTTTATCATGATCATTAATTTGAAGGGACACAGCTAGCTTTTTTTCTATTCTACAATATACACTAGCAACCTTATTGAGGGGGGGGGGGAGGGGCACAACTGATAATTACCCTTGTTTTCTAAATGTAAATTATAGACTGGAACATTATTAAGGAGCCCCCCCCCCCCCCGTTTCTACTGGCCTACTTTACAAATGATTTTGTGCTTTGTAAATATGAAGCATTTGGCTATAACTGATTTATTTTTCTTCGCACAGACATTATCTGCAGTGGATAAAAAACAAAAAACAAATAATAACCACACATGGTTTATCATGCGATTGCAGCAGAGCAGTAAGAAATCTTAGTAAGGAGACTACGTGTCTAACTTGAGAGGCCCTGTGACCGTATCATGGCCCTATTGTTTTTCAAAAGATTTTTAAAAAATCCCTTATATTCCATGACAAATGTTCCAATATTATGGTCCCAACCTAGCCCCAAGGGATCATGACTTAACCGAACTTGAATACACACAAAATGGGAATATCAATATGTTTTGGAGAAGACGAATTCGAAATCTTTCAATCTCAAAATCTTCAAACTTGTATGCATTCATCATGTAAAATATGATCCCGATTTAGCCCCACACTAACCATAGAGAACGCAGTATGAAGCAAATCATGGACCTGATGTTAGTTTTCCCATATTATTTATTTATGTAAAAATAAAATTAAATTTTTTTTCTTATATATTCCCATTTAAAACTCTGATCACATATAATGACTCACCCTACTTGGGGACCATGATTTGAACAAGCTTGAATAGGCACTATCTAATGATGCTTGCATATTAATGTGATTTATTGTGGTCCTGTTGTTCTTGATACGAAGATTTTTAAAGGGTTTTCAATATTCCAATGCAAAAAAAAAAAAAAAAAAAAGATCCCATTGTACCCTCCTGGGCCATGATCTAAACAAACCTGAATCAACACTCCTTGAGGATGCTTGCATTTTAATTACGACTAAATGGTTTTCTGCCCCCGGATATAAAAATGAAAAATTCCAAAACATGATTGCACATCTACAGGACACTACCAATCAAATTTTAAAAGATAATTTAGCTATTGTGTATATATCGTCCCGCTCTTCTTTTTATTTATTTATTTATTTATTTATTTATTTATTTATTTATTTATTTATTTATTTATTTATTTATTTATTTATTTATTTTTTGTATATCCCCTTTGAAACTTTGATCCTCTATATACTGGCCCCACCCTACCCGGGTCCAAGATTTGTGCACTACCTGAGGATACTTGCGTATTAATGATTTAGGGTTATTCTCTATATATTCCCATGTAAAACTTTGACCCTACTCTACCACACCCCCACCCCCGGGCCATGATCTGAAGAAAACTGAATCCACACTCCTTGAGGATGCTTGCATTTTAATTGCTACATGTACTATGGTCCCGCTGTTCTTTTAAAGCAGATTTTAAAAGGTTTTTTTTTACTGTATATTCCCATGCAATTAAAACTTTGATCCCGTAATGTGGCCCCACCTTACCCGTGGAGTGTGATTTGAACAAATGTTAGGGAATTTTCAGATTTTATGACCCAGCTGTTCTGGAGAAACAAAATTCTTCAAGTCACCTACCATATTTTTGCGTTTTCTTTACTATCTTTTACCCAAGAAAGCTTTGTGCAAGTTTGGTTGATATTGTTTCAGTGTTCTGGAAAAAGTTGAAGATATGAAAAAAAAAATAATTAAGTTAAAGACAGGCGGACGGACGGACGACGGACAGCAAGTGATCAGAAAAGCTCACGATTTTATGAGCTTTAGATCCTTTGATTCAGGTGAGCTAAAATTTGACAAGATTTTTTGCGTCGATGAGAAAATTATCCGGCTCTTACGGAACAGACTTCGTAAATAAGGAGAAAAGATTTCATTATAAATCGTATTTATGAGATAAATTATGTAATTCATCTTAAATTGAGGGAATAGACCGGGGTTTGCGGATTGATCAAGTGCATGACATAACACATTTTCCTATATGTACCTCATCTCTCCCAGTTTTAATAAAATATGATTTTTTATAAACAGTTTTCCATCCCATATGCTTGAAAATAGCAAAATTACATAGAATGTGCTATATTTAACTCTACTGCTTGGTTAAAGAACCAGGAGAGTTTGTGCTTTGGTAAAGTGTCCGATGTCTGACTCTCTGTAAACATTTTTTTCTTCAAACTTTTACCTTTTCTCCTCTTGCTGATTACAATAAAACGTGGCACATACTGGTAAACACGGAGACATATAATTTTTCATTTCAGTTTTTTTATTTCGACAAAAAGTTGTCATGGTTTCTTATCCAACAGTTTTGTTGCGACTACAAAAAGACTTGATACAAAGGGTTTTATTTTAATATAAGATGTTGCCATGGTTTCTAAAAATATAAATTTCTGTGAAAATCTGTCAAAACACCCCCTCCTACAGTTTTTTTCCCCGATTTCAATAAGACTTGGTATGTAAGTAAACAGCACAAAGATACTTAAGTACATTTACTTTTTTCTAAATAAAGAAGAAGGTACGGTTTCAGCTTTATTGTGCCCTAAAAATTTAATGTTTTCAAAAAGTTTTGAAACTGGCTTAAATATTAGCTGAGTATATGACTGTGATAAATCAGGAAAGAATATGGCATGGAAGAGTACTATTCTGGGAATATGACATCATTAATAAGAGGCATTTCTCCATTTTAAACAGAAAAAGCCCCAAAATGACCAATTTCAAGGGTTATTTTCCCTAAGAAAATAGTGTCCACAGCTGTCGCCCACTTTAATTTTCGGATTTGTAGTGTAAAATTATTTGAAAAATCACATATTTCAAAATCTTTGTGGGCGATGCCTGTGGACAGTATTATCTGAAAGAAAATTCCATTGAAAATTGGTGTCTTCTGCAACTTTTTCAGAAAATACGGGAAAATGCACAAGTTTATGACGTCACAATTAGCATTTAGAAGGTCATATGAGAAAAATGATTTGTATGATCTTTCTGTATGGAATTTGAATGATTCAGAAAGCATGAGTTTTAATTTTTTACATCACTTTCATTTTTAAGAAAAATACAGGGCAAGATTTGTATTGATACCGTACCTTGTTCTTTTAACGAACGGTGTTGTCGTAAAACTAGAAACTATATATTTAACATTCTCTCAAAAAACTTCTACAGTTTTTTTCCCTGATTTTCACTAAAACGTGGAACACAATACTACACCAAGATGAAATACATGAATAGTACACCAAGCTACACAATGCATTGGTTTTAATTTCGATGAAGTGTTGCAATTGTTACTAATAATAGAATAGTTCTTTCACAACGTTACTCTTCTGATGAATAGTAAATTGATGTTGTTGTGTCTTTTGACAAAATACATGTACCTACGCAGATATATATAATAAAGTGCGATAACTTCATATGCAAAAATTCTTGAATGTGCGCTGGACTCTGATTGCCTAGAATAGTAAATTACGTAAGCGTATTATTGCCATTTTGACACTTTTTATTTTTTAATTTCTACACTTTAATCTGTAAAATCTACACTGTAATCTGTAAATTTTACACTTTAATCTGTAAATTTTACACATTAAAGTGTAAAATTTACACACGGTGTTATACCTATGACATTTGAAAAATAGTATAAATCTGAGATGTTTACAAGCGTTTGCATAAAAGTTTATACATGTATATATGATAAGTAAGGATGAGCGATTTGCTCATTGGCCTCGTAATTTTCCCCAGCAAAATATCGGGAATCTGCTTTCAATCCAGTATATTTCTTTAGTACTATAGTAAAGAGCGACGAACTGTAAAAAAAAAAAAAACAACATTCCTTAAAAAAACTATTACCATTAGACCAAGAGATAAAGTTTCTATGAATAATACTATACGTAGACTAATGAGAAAACGAAATAGGATTCACTATAAAGCAAAACATACAGACAATCCACTACATTGGCAGGCATACAGAGAACTTAGAAATACAGTTATTAATGAAATTCGAAAATCCCGTGAAAGGTATAACAAAAAAATGTCGTCAATGATTGATAAATCGATTCTTCCCGGGAAATGGTGGAGGATTGTCAAATCAATATCAACACTTAATAAAAATTATGAACCATTACCACCATTAAAATGGAAAACTTATTTTCCATCCAGTAGAAAAAGCTTTCCTCCATTAATAACGAACCAGATATTCCTTTTCATGGACCCGGTCCACCACAACAGAATAATAACATTTTTCCTGAAATAATTATCACAGAAGCTGAAGTTTATGATCAATTATGTATCATTGATAACAGTAAACCTTTTGGTCCTGATGACATATCTCCAAGAGTGTTAAAAGAAATTTCCA